TATATTTAGAAAATTTGAATTTATGTTCAAGTTCATATTCTTGATACATTTTAATATCATAATAATCTTAAGGAATTTGTATAAATATCTCTGAGAAGTGGATTTATATATGTTTTTTTTAAGAACCCAAACACTTATTATAAGTCGGTAAATAAATATTTACAAATATTTATTTGCTTTGACTCGCTCACATTACACTCGAATGTCATATTTGGTTGCATAGTGTTGATATTTATTATCAGATAGCTGAAATAGTTTTTTCAGCTTTGTGGCTTGTTGTACTCGAGCTTTACATGCAGCTAATAATAGTGGATAGTTATTTATGTCGTCGGAGCTACACATGAACTCTGCATACACTTGTAGTACCCATACTATATATGTATAGTAACGACTAATTTACGAACCGTTTACAAATTTGCCGTTGCGTGTCCAATTTCTCGCATTAACTCGCATAAGAGGAAAAATTTGCAAACAAATCAAATAATAATAAACACGACATATTGTCGCCGTCTGCAATTTATTGTTATACAATTGAGCTAAATCTGATGATATAGATATATATATATATATATATCTATACGTATATATGAGAACATAATATATCCGTTCGGTAACTATAATAAAGCGGGCCGTGACTTGTTTATAATCGGAGATCTTTCAGAGGCGACACGAGTTGCTCTTCGAGAGTGTCCGAATAGGTAGAGCAATATCAGGTCGTAGTTGTCATATATGTATGTATATACTATATTATCAAATAACTTCACGCAGTGCGCTGTTGCGTAATGCTCCACTTAGCTAAACCTATTTAACATACATACACACACATACGCATAACTGTAATGTTAGAGTATTTTTATGGCTTCCATAGGGAGGTGTTCGGAATGACATTGGGAGTGAGGGTACGAGGGGCCAAGCTGAAGGTAGTTGTTTTTGGTTTTTTTTTTTTTCTCTTTTATTCTGGTAGTTAAATGTTAATTGGCTGATTGACGACACGAGAGCAACGCTGAGTGCTTCAGTGGGGAATGAACGACTGGCGAATGCTCTAAAGAAAAAGTTTTTGGTTGTATTATTTCTGATAACCTCCATGTGTATATGCGAAACTTAATAATGTCTAAATTTTATATATACTATATATTAATTATCTATTAATATTGCGGAAATGGGAGGCGTTATCTAAATGAACACACGATAAACTCGAGCTGCGACATTCAAATCTTCTATTTAATTAGATTTTATCTTATCTCATTTCTTCCAAGGCAAGTGGGCTCAGCATACCCTTTGTACCCAATTACACTGAGTACAGGGTATGGTAACACGAAGGTGTTCCAAATGAGCGTCCGATACTATGAACAGATTTTTGAGTTATGCAGGTCATCGCTTGATTGCCATAAGGTCGCTATCTAATAGACTTTCTAACATATTTCAGCATGAGAAAGAGAGATTCGGAAAAGGTACTGTTTGGAATTTCTCTAAGATGGACAGTTCATTGAGTTGTATGATTACCAATCGAATTTCTAACTCAAAAAGAGAGAGAGGGAGAGAGTTTAAGATCTAGAGGTCGCTCTCTTATGTAGTCATTCAAATGTTAAGTCATTGAAAATTGCTTTTTAATCAACGCGCAGTCTGGATTAATTACTGCCAAACACCTGTTATTCACCTGAGCTGATAACGTCATGTCCATTTGCATTGCTATAGCTGAAATCTCAAAAGTTGTAAAGATATGTTATTTAATCAATCATGCCCAACAGTATAAGAAGATAAAAATCTAATCTCTATTCCCGCAGGGCGTCAGCGAAAGTAGCTATCATCCGGCAAAGCAGGCGGAGGCCAATGGTTATGTGAGCCAGACGGGCAGCTCCTGCGACAAGTTCAAGCCCAGTCGGGCAGATGGCGTGCTGTCGGCGGAGCAGGAGCACTACCAGAAGACATCCTTCGAGGATGTGCCGCTGTACACGGCCTGTCTGACCTACCTGGGCTTCTATCTGCTCATGATACTGGGCTATATCAACCAGCTGCTGTTCGTGCCCAAGGTGGCCACGGAGAAGGGCCGCGAGGGCTACGTGGCCCTCTACGATGCCTTCGAGAGCTTCTACTCGCGCTATGTGTATCGTCGAGTGCGCGACTGCTGGAATCGCCCCATCTGTAGTGTGCCGGGCGACGAGCTGGTGCTGAAGGATCGCGTCACAGACGACTACGGCTGGAGCTTCAGATTTACGGGCACCGAGACGCGCTGCCTCAACTTGGGCTCCTACAATTACCTAGGCTTTGCTGCCGCCACAGGACCCTGTGCGGATGACTCAGAGAATCGTGCGCGCCAGAAGGGTCTGGCCTACTGCAGTCCTCGCTCTGAGCTGGGCAATACGCAGCTGCACATCGACCTGGAGCGGCTGACAGCTCGCTACTGCGGCGTCGAGGATGCCATCGTCTTTGGCATGGGCTTCGCCACGAACGCCCTCAACTTGCCATCGCTCCTGGGCCCCGACTGCTTGGTGGTGAGTGACGAGAAGAATCATGCCTCCATCATCCTCGGCCTGCGTCTGTCGGGCGCTACGACTCGTGTGTTCAAGCACAACAGTATGCGGGACTTGGAGCGAGTGCTGCGCAACGGCATCTGCTATGGCAATCCGAAGAAGGGAGGCAAGCCGTGGGACAAGATCATGATCCTTGTCGAGGGCATCTTCAGCATGGAAGGTTCCATTGTGCGCCTGCCCGAGATAATTGCCCTGAAGAAGAAGTACAAGGCGTATCTGTATCTGGATGAGGCGCACAGCATTGGCTCCATGGGTCCAACTGGACGCGGTGTGGTCGAGTACTTCGGCGCCGATCCCAAGGATGTGGACATTCTGATGGGCACGTTCACCAAGAGCTTCGGCAGTGCCGGCGGCTACATAGCGGGCTCCAAGGTAAACATACTCAATGCCTGCCTCTTGACATGTTATTCAGCTTGTCTTCTCTTCGCCTCGCACAGAAACTGATTGACTTCTTGCGCACGAACAGTCACGCCCACTGCTATGCCGGGTCCATTTCGCCGCCTATTGTGCAACAGATCTACACCTCGATGAGCATTATAATGGGCGAGGATAACACGGATACGGGCCGCCAAAAGGTGCAGCAGCTGGCCAGGAATACGCGCTACTTCCGCAGGCGCTTGGCCCAAATGGGCGTCATTACCTATGGCCACGAGGATTCGCCAGTCGTGCCCATGCTGGTCTATCTCTTCTCGAAGATTGGGTAAGCCACTTTAAACTTTGATGCAAAACAATTTATATCATGTTTTTTATTACATACTCAGCGCCGTCATTCGCACGCTGACCACGCGCCACATTGCCGTTGTTGGCGCCGGCTTTCCGGCCACACCCATTATGGAGGGTCGCATTCGCTTCTGTTTGTCGGCCGCACACACCAAGGAACAGCTGGACTATGCACTTGACGTCATCGACGACGTTAGCGAGAACCTGGGCCTAAAGTACTCACGCAAGCCTCGGGATCCCCATCCGATTGAGTACTAGGCTCGGCAGGCACGCTCGTATATGGATACGTAATACCCGCGCACACACACACGCATAGCACGTTAAGCAGAAAGTTGGCCTCAGTTGTGTGATCCAACACAAATCGAGCTTAGGGCGACCAATCGAGTTGTTGATTATGATATGGTACAGCTATATATACATAAATATAATCGTCGTGTTGTTGCGGCTTTATTTTTGACTAATCCCCAAGGGACTCTGCCTGAACTATTATTGAAAAAGAATCAAATGAAATGAAATGATACAGCGCAACAACATGCTTAGCTTTATAATGATATAATAATAATAATAATATTACAATATTATAAATAATGTGTATTTAGCATTTAAATCATCTGCGTAGTTGTTATTGTATTTTGTAAACTTTCGGACGTCTTCAGCTGCTGCACATATGTATCTATGTATATTTGTACATATATACATACATATTCTTGTCATAAGTAAATCAGAAATGTATTATGATCATCAGGTTATAGCTGTAGACAATTGCGTCTAGTCAAAGCTAGGCAGATCTTTACTATACATTTATCATTATGTTCAGATGTAACGTTAATTCGCTTCTAAAGTTTCCAATGCTAAGCTCAGAAAAATGCCAATAAATAAAAAAAAAATAAAATAAAAAAAAACACTAATAAAAGGCGTGGCAGTTCCAAATAGATATAAGCATTATGCTTCTACGTAATTGTATGGTATGCATTAAATACTTTATTTTTTTTAAATCAATAAATGTACCTAATGAAATCCAATAGAGTTAAATTCTTTAGACTATATCGGGATTTGCTATTGTATAATCTGCTATCTTTGTCTAAATTATTATTTTATATATATTTCATTATATTTGTTAAAGTTTTACATCTATGACTATTATCTAGTAATCATTGAATTTTTTGGAATCTTTTCTGTAGTTATGATCACATTGATAAATTCCTGTAGTTTTTGGTAATTTTGTTGAATGTCTAATGTGGAAACACTGAAACATTTAGAAGATTAGTTCGATAGAATCAAGCAAAAACGTGACAAATGGAAACAGGGCCGAAAGCAGTTGACCCAATTCACTGTATGCCAACATTCGCAAGCATTGCAACATATGTAAGTCAAGCAGTGCACCAAGCAGTTAAATGCATTTACTCGTTCATGGCACATTGAGAAACGTAGATAAATGAAGGTTACACTTCTACATACCCTAAGTGAAATGAAATGAATAGCCATGTGAAAGTTATTCTTCCATATATCCTATATATTGATCTTGAGTTCCTCTAGGTCTTAAAAATAAATAATCTATCATTTCTTCTAGTTGGCTGCTCAAAAAGGTATCGACAAGATGAAAATGTTTTATTTGCACAATTTCCTTTTCGTACTTAGCCTACGTTTTGGGTGCCGTATCATAGGCTTTGTTGAGATTGCTTTATGTGGCTATGGATTCTACTATTTGATTGCCAACTATGGTAATATATAAAATGTGATCCATTTTTACCTTTATTCACAAATCATTTCATCAATTTCTTAGGCTTTTCAGAAATGCTAGAATCGATGATTACCATAACATTGGGCACCTCCTGCCTTCTGACCGTACTGATGATGGTTTCCACTCTCCAAGAGCATGTGAGTGTTTTTAAACGATTATTAATAGCATAAGAGTGATTATTTAATCACCCATAAATATATATAGGAATCATCGGGTATTATTTTCACATATCTAATGTGGGGCATCTTCACAACAATATTCCTGTGTATTTTCTATTTGATCATGTTCCAAACGAAGAGGTTAACTGTTCCTTTATTCTTCGGCCTGTTCGTCGGCACCATAAGTGAGTAAAGTTTTCGTAATATTTTACTATGTTGCTTATTTCAACAGTTACCAAGTGTTATTCCATGCTGGTGGTATTATCATTCCTTCACATGATAGTCAGTTCCGATAGCGATGATTCAGCATAGAAGCGAAAACAATGGAAATTGTGTGAAATACAAAATGTGCAGAAATCTATTTTAAATGTAAAGCACCCAGTGTTCCGTGTAGTCAGTCTATTCAACCAAATATATTTTTTTAGTTTTATATATGCCATGTGTGTAGCAATGATTTTTATATATTTTTAATATAACTAAAAAAATTTGAACCGTTGTCATGGATTTAATCACATAAATACTCAAATTTAATTTATTTTATTAAATTTAAGTGCATACACCAAGCAGTGTAAAGCAGTTCGCATTTTGCAAAGCCCAAAGCGCGCAGTTTTTAAAATGCATTTTTAGTTGAATTTTTTTGTTTGAAATATATATGATATATATATTATATATTTATTTATACAAAATATTTTATAAATGCCTTTATGCGAAATAACGTTAAATATAGAAATTAACTATATTAAAATATAAAATGTTTAAGTGAAACATTTTTTAATCTTTTATATATTACCAAAATGTATATTTTTTATATTTGCTTCGTCTCAATTTTTTATTTATTTATTTTTCTGCTAAGCTGTGAATTTCTTCTACGGCTTCTTTAGCCCCATTCAAGCGAACACTGTCAAATGGCATTTTGGCAAAATTGTTGGCATTGTATTGCAATCGAATGAGTCCTCGAAGCTTAACAATTTTCTAATTAACAGTAACTCAAGAGCGTCTGGCACTCGACCATAATGCCAAATAAATTCCAATTGTAATTGTCATAGATTTTTCGATAGCCAAAAGTGGGCGACAAACGTGGCCAAGTCAACTGTTGTTGCATAGAAATTACTTTCAATTTTATTGCACTTGCAATATTTATGGAATTGTTGCATGTGTCCGGCATCCACAAATCCAGATGCGGGCAGCTGAAATTTCAATGCCACAACTTCCCTAGGCGGCGACGGGGGCTTGGAGGGGGAGGCGTTTCGGAAATAATTTCTTAAAAATGGTTATTTAAAAAATCGATTTGAAAGAATCTTCAGTGTGTGTGTGTGTGTTTCGGCTTTCGCCAGTTGCTAAATACGTACATATATATCTACATATGCACAACGTATATATGTATGTATGGTGCAGGGGCGGCTGGGCGTGTCCCTTTAGCTGCATTGCATTGCATTGCGGGTGTGAGTAATTGACTACGTGCGTATAAACTTTGTGCTGGCATTTTACCGAGCGTCGAGTGCTCAGTGAGTGCAGCTGGCCTTGATTATGTGTGTGTGTGTGTGTGTGTGTGTGTGTGTGTCTGCGTATGTGTGTGCTCTCATAAATATGCACTATGCTGGCCATTTGTCATGGCTTTTTTGCTCAGACCAAAGCAGCCCGAGCCCAGCCCGAGCCTAGCCGCAACAAAACTGCTGCAACTCGTGATCTCAGGCTGAAGCGCAGTTTAATAGAGATTGATAAGGATAAGCAGCAGCCAGGAGAATTGAGATACTAAATTCACCCAGCTGCATGGCCAACATCCGCTTAATGCATCCAATATACAATTGCAATATTTCCTTTTAGTATAATTGTAGCTTTGTTTATAGAGAATTTACTTCACTTATACTTTCACCTTATAGAGCATATTATATGTGCTTTACATATCATCTGTGTTTTATTAATTAATAATAACTACAACTGAACAACATCATCATCTATGAGAACTCTCTTATTAAACCAATTTGATAGTCATGAGAGAGTGCAATGTGGAAACATATGATGGGGTCTATACGAGCATTATCTGACAGAGAAAGATATAGAGAGAAGGAGACGGAATGATAGATAGATGAAAGGGGGAGAGAAAGAGATAGATAAAGAGAGATAGAACAACTGAGAGCAATATGAATTAGATCAAAAGTTATCCCACACGATTTCTAGTTAGAGAGAGTGAACAGCTAATCTACATTTGACTTATGAAAGGGACGTACATAAATCTTTTAAATTAAGAATACGAAGCTAAGAATGACTATTCAGAATCTCCATACACTTGGATTTGATGAAAAAGTTTATTCAGAATTCTCTCACGAAAAAAGGGAAGGATGAAAAATACTTTATTTATAGTCAATATATATAAAATAAACCAATGCTTAAGATATAATCAGATTTATCAATATCTTGCATATGGTATATCTAATCGATGATTCAGTTTAATATATGTTAATACATTTAACCTCTTCAGAATTGAGTCGATTTCGCTTTGAACTTTGCGTGTCTCTAACTCGAGTCCTTTGCGAATTTCTTTTGATAGTCGATTGCTGTGGCAGCTTGTGGCATTAGAATGAATAGTTGTTGTTGTTGGTGGTGGTGGTGGTGCAACGTTGCGCGAAAAGCTCAGCAAATACAATTTTAATGTTTCCGCTTACCTGCTGGAAAATATGTATGCATGAGTTTTCTGCTAGTTTTTCTTGCAACTTTTGCTGCTTGCCTTCCCCGCACACACTCGAGACTCGAGTATTGGTTACAGCGAAAGCTGCCACGGATTTCGTTTATGGCAACTGGGAAAAAATAAATAAAAAAAATAAAAACATAGATGAAGAAGGTATAAACCAGAGGAAGTTGCATTTTGTGTCCATAATCTGATAAAATGTTTCAAAGTTGGCTTTTTTTCTACCTTAGCAATATTAAATAACAGCCATAAAAAGGGTGGGGGAGGGAGCGAAGGGAGGATTTGAGATCGAGTGGGATACAGAGTAAATCCGATTTGCGTGCATTTGATGCATCCGAAAGCGCGCCAGCTTGTGGATTATGTGCATACTTCTGGCAGCCAGTGTGTCCGATGATGATGTTGCAAGAGTCGGCGCAACAACAGATGCTAATTAAGGGCAGGATGGGCCCCAACTAATAGTTTGCATATTTAATAGAGGCAGAGAGAGAGAGAGAGAGAGAGAGAAATATTAGCTACGACCACGCCCAGAAGACAATAATCATAAATGTTAACAAGACGCCCACAAAACTTAATGATGGCAAACAAAGGCGGCATAGACATAGGCAGACATAGACAGCATATTAAGGCGCACATTGTCTGTGTGTTTGCGTGTGTTTGTGTGTACGTGTGTCCTTGTGACAGGTGTTAAGGTGTCGCCTGTCGCATGCCTGGGTTTGCTTTTGTATCTGTGTTTCTGGCATTAATTAGAAAACTGTGGTTGCCTTTTCCGAATGAAATATTTGCCAGTAAATTTAATTTGCGGTCAGCTTGCTTGAAAGACGTAGAGAGAAAGAGAGACGGTAATTGAGGGGGCGAAACAGTAAATGCAAGGACATAGCTGTAAAAGCTCCAGGGTTTTGCATTTAAGTTTTGCTAGGGAAAATCAAAAGCTCGCAATGCCTTGATTAAATTCGTCTCGCTTCAGAGACGCAAAGACTTTGATGGATTGACGAAAGTGTAACGCACATAACACTGAGGTGCAAAAGTATGAGTGTGTGTGTGTGTACTTTCAAATATCAACACACATACACGCACATTTACGCACATACAACAAAAGTCAAACACATGGACAAGCTTTGGACACATTTGCCAACGCGCTTGAAGCGCGTGCCCAACGACGAATGACTGATTGTCCTGGTAGCTGAAGCTGCTCGCCCAACTTTGAGTGGGATAACCATCCATAAATGCAACCAAAACATGGAGCGAGAGAGGGAGAGGGAGAGGGAGAGGGAGAGGGAGAGGTA